CTCTCGTTCGAAACCTTCCCCCACCTGTTTCGTTTTGTGCTTTACCTGCTTCGTTTTGTGCTTTACCTGTTTCGTTTTGTGCTTTACCTGCTTCGTTTTGTGCTTTACCTGTTTAGTTTTGTGCTTTACCTGTTTCGTTTTGTGCTTTACCTGTTTAGTTTTGTGCTTTACCTGTTTAGTTTTGTGCTTTACCTGTTTAGTTTTGTGCTTTACCTGTTTAGTTTTGTGCTTTACCTGTTTAGTTTTGTGCTTTACCTGTTTAGTTTTGTGCTTTACCTGCTTCGTTTTGTGCTTTACCTGTTTCGTTTTGTGCTTTACCTGTTTAGTTTTGTGCTTTACCTGCTTCGTTTGATCTTTTTTCAGTTTTTTTCTTTTTATGTTCAATCTTTAGTTGTATTTTTTTTCGCCTTTGTGTTGTTTTAACCTTTGTGTTCCTTTCCACAGTTGTGTTTGTTTTTGCTTCAATTCAAGCGTCACAGTCACCGCCTTCATGTTGGTCGTTTTAGCCGTGTGTCTCTTTTTCTCCTGCTCTGGTTTTTGCCCTTCGTTCATTCACTTTCCTTCGTTTCTTCCTCATCTTCGTCGTTCTTCTCTATATCTCTCTTCCCCCCCTCTCCTCCCCTCCCCCTTTCTATCCTACCCCATCACTTCCTTCTCCCAACCACGCTTCCTTCCATTAGTCTGTCTTTCAATCTCAATATCCCCCTCTCTCCTACCATCCTACTCCATCCCACTCCGTCTCTCTCCATCCCACTCCCCTCCCTCCCTCCCCTCGACTGCATTAGGTGAAGAAGTAAGTGTGTGTGTGTGTAGAGTGTTACTTCAGAAGAGTGAGGGAGGCGTCACCGTCACCCACTCCAGGCGTGAGGATCAATAGGTAGCTGTTCACGGACTTCCTCTCTCACCTACTAGCCCACACCACCATCACCATACCGTCCTATCTCGTAAATAGCAGCAGCAGCTCTTTCACTTACTAACCTACACTACCACCACCACCATAGCAGCAGCTCTCATCTACTAGCCTACACCACAATCACCATAAAGTCCTATCTCGTAAATAGCAGCAGCTCTCATCTACTAGCCCACACCACCACCATCACCACCTCATAAAATAGAAGGAATAGCTTTCTCTTTTTTCTCCATATATATTTTATCTCGAATTCTTCTTTGTCTGTCTGTCTCCTCTCTCTCTCTTTGTCTCTCTATCTCTTTTTTCTCTCTTATCTTTATCTCATCTCTCTACCACCTAATCCACACCACCGTACTACCATATCCTATAAACAGTAAATAAAAAAATATTCCCAATTATCTCATAAAATAACCATATTGCCTCCACACACACACACACACACACACACACACACACACAACAGTCACTATGGTAAGCGTCGTGTAGGTCCAGTACTGATATTTATGAATGATTCGGTATTATGAATGATGAAAAAAAAATATTGCGGGTCACTGTCATACACGCCTCTGTATTTTTTTTTAATGAATGATGTAAAATTCCCTCACTGTTTACATTGTGACGTGGGATTGATTTATACATTTTTGGTTTATTTTGGTATTTTTCTGGTTTATTTTGGGGGATTGTTTTGTAATGGCATGTTTATATTAGACCGAAATATATACGAAGAAGTTTTCATGGTTTAAGATGATGCAGTGTAGATGGTACTGTAGCAGGTTTATTATTAGTATTAGATTATTATTAATGTTTTTATGTATTTGTTATTGGTGGTATTATATTTGTTTTATTGTTTTGTTGTCATGAGAGAGAGAGAGAGAGAGAGAGAGAGAGTAGGGTAGAGAGAGAGATGTAATCAATAAGAGGTAAAATAAAACATTAAAAGTGGTTGAACAGGCAATAGGTGGGTGGAACAATGTGGTAGGAATGGGCAATAGGGTGGGTGGAAATAATGTGTGTGGGGTAGGGAATAGGTGCTAGGTGGGTGGAACAATGTGTGGTAGGAACAGGCAATAGGTGGATGGAACAATGTGTGGTAGGAACAGGCAATAGGTGGGTGGAACAATGTGTGGTAGGAACAGGCAATAGGTGGATGGAACAATGTGTGGTAGGAACAGGCAATAGGTGGGTGGAACAATGTGTGGTAGGAACAGGCAATAGGTGGATGGAACAATGTGTGGTAGGAACAGGCAATAGGTGGGTGGAACAATGTGTGGTAGGAATATATAAGGTGGGGTGGAACACTGGTAGTAGGTACAGGAAGAAGGGGTGGAACAATGTGTGGTAGGAACAGGCAATAGGTGGATGGAACAATGTGTGGTAGGAACAGGCAATAGGTGGGTGGAACAATGTGTGGTAGGAACAGGCAATAGGTGGATGGAACAATGTGTGGTAGGAACAGGCAATAGGTGGGTGGAACAATGTGTGGTAGGAACAGGCAATAGGTGGGTGGTCATGAAATGTGTTTTAGCTCGATGAAAATCACTATTATATCTTCACATTTTTTTCTGCCTTAGGATTAATCATCGTGGAGAGATAAAGGGGTGTCGGGTTATCAGTAGTAGTAGTATTAGTAGTAGTAGTAGTAGTAGTAGTAGTAGTATTGTTTTGTTAGTAGTTGATATAGTTAATGTAATAGAAAGTGGGTGAGGGAAGAGGTAGGGAAGAAGAGTGATGAAGGAGAGAGAAGTAAAGCTGGCGGAATAAAGTAATGAATATAGAGATGGGAGATAAATAGGTGAGAGAGGAGAGGCTGATAAACCGTGGGATGAGAGACAACAGAGGTAGAGGTGAGAGAGAACTAGGCAGGAGTCACTCAGGTATAACAGGTAAATTTATGTATAGTTTTCCTTAACTTTAAACTCGTACTTGATCGAGGTGTGGCTGTCATGGGACCCCTCACCACCTTCCTCCTCACCACCACCACCCTCCCCTCACCACCACCACCCTCCTCACTACCTACTCACCCTCCTCACACCACACCATGGCTCTCACCACCACCATCTTCCCCTCACCACCACTGTCGTATTACGCTGTGGAAATAACAAAACCCCCTCCATCTCTTCCTCTCTCTACACCCACAAACTTTACCCTGTCAATATTGGTGCAAAATTTTGAGATACATATTGGGACAGGTAATTTCTAGTGCTCTTCCCCTCTCCTCCCATCTTTCCCATCCTCTCTCTCTCTCTCTCTTCTCTTCTCACATCATCATCATCTCTCACTTTTCTTCCTCCCCCTCCACAACTCTTTCTTCATCAGATAACATCAAAAAGCTGGAATATATGTAGTAGGGATTTTTTTTTCGTTTTTTTTTTCGTTTTTTTTTTTTTTTTTTTTTTTTTGCCATTCTGATGCTTCATTGTGCACCCATGGGGAGTAAGGCTGGTAGTGTCGTGATGTCAGAATGGTGGTATTATCAGAAGTGTCTCTCTGAGTGTATTTCTCCCTCCCCCCACCTACACCTATTTCCTACTTCCCTTGCTGGTGGTGGTGGTGGTCCCGAGTGTGAACAGAGGGAATTATGAGGGAGTGTTGGAGAAAGTGAGGGAGAGTACAGAGGAGTGATGAAGAAGAGTGTTGGAGAGGATGAAGGGGAGTGTTGGAGAAGGATGACAAGTGAGGGAGAGTATAGAAAATAGTGATGGAGGGAGAGAGTACACAGAATTTATGATAAAAAGAAGGAGCTAGGTGGGAACAGATGAGAGGGATGGATACAAGTTAAAAGGAGAATAAAGAAGAGTGAGAGGTAGAGTGATAATGATGGAGAGAGATTATTCCTGTCACTGTATCCAGTTTTCTTGACTCAATCTCACCTATCGTTTCTTCCCCCTTTCTTGAGATTTCTCTTTCCTCTTCACCCTCTCCACAGTAAAGGGGAAGACAGACAGACAAAATAGCAATAACAACATAAACTTGTCATAATTTTTTTTAGCAATATATTAAAAAAATAACAAAATTAACATATGGATTTTAATAACAAAGGTTTATCACTTGTTTTAATATTGGTTTATTGCATCGTTGTCTCACTCAATATAAGAGGTAACGTTGTGTGTGTATTTATTTATAATTAGGTATAATTACGTATGCCACCTCTTATGAGTAGTTAGTTCAGTATTGTGTAAACATTTGTGTTATATTATCTCTCAGAGGATGACTGTCTGTAATACTTACGTTGAGGATTTTGAACATTTATTTATTGGTTATTAATGTTGTGTTTATTTTCTACCTCCTGGGTTTATCCGAGACGTCTACCTCACACACACACACACACACACACACACACACACACACACACACACACACACACACACACACACACACACTGATCACCACACACACACACACACACACACACACACACACTGATCACGCCCCACCTTCATCATATCAGGTGTCGCTGGAACAAAAAACACTGACCAGCAACCAATTTGTAATGGGTGAATAAGTCAGTAGCCGTAGTAAATAATGGCTTAACTAGTATGAAAGTGTGTGTGTGTGTGTGTTAAATCATGATTGTATAAAGGAAGGTTTAGACCCGACCACCTTAACAAAAAACCTGATTCTTCCATTATCTCACCTGTGGCGCTGGTCAGCATCATTTCACCTGTAGAGCCACGTTTAAACTTTCTCATTGTAGTTGATGAAAGACATTTAAATCTTGGGAAAATCCTCAAGTTATCACAAAAACACAATGATAGAACAGGTGAGACATGCAGTACACAGGTACCATTAGGACACCCAGTTCTATAGAGTATTTCGTGTGTTTGTTTCATAGTGTTTGCCTGTGTATGCTGTAATGATGGGTGGGTCCATGTTCCCGAAACTGTGAGTTGATATTGTCTTGTATTGTACCTCCGCTGATATTTTTTTTATTCTGGTTTAGATTACTTTATTATATAGATGGAAACACACACACACACACACACACACACACGCACAAGAGTTCATAGTAACACAATTATTGTCTCACATTATCATGACTTGTACACGGGTAAGTCAATTACTATACTGAGTTCTTTTTGTTTTATTTCAGGGTGCCCAAAATCTTCTTCGGCACAAGGACCCACAAACAGGTTCATCAGATCGTCAAGGAGCTGCGACGCACAGACTACACCGATGTCAGGTCAGTACTGGTTCCTTTCATGTCCTGCTGTGGGAAAATGCCACCACTGGGGAAAGTCAAGCAAGCGTTGTCTGGTCTAGTTCCTCTAAACCTACCATTTCAGGTTGAGGGTAACGCCAGGCGCAGTTGATTGCTCATGCTGGAGTTAATTTTGTTCTTATGGTACTGGCGTGTTCTAAGCGTTTCGAGAATGTTCATTTCGTTTTGATCCTCTGACACGCGTTAAACATCTGTAATTACGGAAAATATTTTGGTAGTACTTTCCTAATTGACATATAGAGATTTATATTTATTTTTTTTTCAAATAGATGTAGTACATAATAATTATTGATGTTTTCTCTTTAAACTTAGGTCTTGGTTTTAGGTGAGTTGTGTTATTTTGATCTTGGGGGGGGGGTGGCAATTTAAGGCTAGAGGATAAATTCGCAAATGTTCTTACTATAAATATTCCCCCAAAATTAATTCCTAGAATATACAGTCGCCTGCACTAATACCTGTGTTTGTTTACATCATATTAAAATTCTTGGAGTAGCCCTAAGGAACCTCGCAGTAGTAATTAGAATAATGATGCTTCTATAGATAAGCATTATGCAGAGTTGCCACATCTCACAAACCATGCCAGCTACTGTACCAGGTATAAGTGGAGGCGACTGTACCCAAATTAATGTCAAAAAATGGATTATCAAAGGCACGGTGAAACTCCCTTAATTCGGTATCGTAACTTATGATAAACAAATATTTTAAGGATTATTTATAAGTTATTCTCTACCATAAATTTATAACCTGACTGAAGTTATGTTAATGGCGTTCGTTAAGATAGAATTGATGGTGATTTGCGGACACAGATATTTTGCATTTTATCGGAAGTCAAAGTTAGATGCATTTTTGTTTCTTTTGATACGAGGAATAATCACATTTAAAAACACTTTGTGACTCCATGCCCCAGGCCACTATGGACGCTGTCTTTCATTTCTTGGTTAATGTAATTTACTTTGTCTATGGTATTGGTGCTTGTCCTCGTGTGTTGGTGTTGTGTTGTGCTGTTGTTGGTGGTGTGTTGTGCTGTTGTTGGTGGTGTGTTGTGCTTTGGTGGTGTGTTGTGCTGTTGTTGGTGGTGTGTTGTGCTGTTGTTGGTGGTGTGTTGTGCTTTGGTGGTGTGTTGTGCTGTTGTTGGTGGTGTGTTGTGCTGGTGTGCTTTGGTGTGCTTGCCTTTGTGTGCTGGTGGTGTGTTGTGCTGTGTTCTTCGTTGATGTAGTTGTTATTGTGTTGTGTTGCTGCTTGCTGGTGTGTTGTGTTTGTGGGTATGTTGGTGTGTTGGTGTACTGTGCTGGTGTGTTGTGCTTTGGTGGTGTGTTGTGTGTGATGTAGTTATGCTGGTGGTGTTGTGCTGTTGTTGGTGGTGTGTTGTACTGTGCTGGTGCTGGTGTTGTGCTTTGGTGGTGTGTTGCTGTGATGTAGTTGCTGTGTTGTGCTGTTGCTGGTGGTGTATGTTGTACTATATATGTGCTGGGTATGTGTTGTGTTTGGTGGTGTGTTGTGCTGTGATGCTTAGTTGCTGTGTTGCACTGTTGCTGGTGGTGTGTGTTGTACTGTGCTGGTGTGTTGTGCTTTGGTGTGTGTTGTGCTGTGATGTAGTTGCTGTGTTGTGCTGTTGTTGGTGGTGTGTTGTACTGTGCTGGTGTGTGCTTTTGGTGTGTTGTGCTGTGATGTAGTTGCTGTGTTGTGCTGTTGTTGGTGGTGTGTTGTACTGTGTGCTACAGTGTGTTGTGTTTTGTGGTATATGTATTGCTGCTATATTGTGTGGTTGTGTGCTGTGATGTAGTTGCTGTGTTGTGCTGTTGTTGGTGGTGTGTTGTACTGTGCTGGTGTGTTGTGCTTTGGTGTGTTGTGCTAGTTGCTGGTGTTGTGCTGTTGTTGGTGGTGTGTTGTACTGTGCTGGTGGTGTGTTGTACTGTGCTGGTGGTAGTACTGTGTACTGTTGCTGCTGGTGTGTTGTACTGTGCTGGTGTGTTGTGTTTGTGTGTTGTGCTGTGATGTAGTTGCTGTGTTGTGCTGTTGTTGGTGGTGTGTTGTACTGTGCTGGTGTGTTGTGCTTTGGTGGTGTGTTGTGCTGTATTCTTAGTTGCTGTGTTGTGCTGTTGTTGTTGGTGTATTTAGCCCCACTGTGCTGGTGTGTTGTGCTTTGGTGGTGTGTTGTGCTGTGATGTAGTTGCTGTATTTGTGCTGTTGTTGGTGGTGTGTTGTACTGTGCTGCTGTGTTGTGCTGTTGTTGGTGTGTTGTGCTGTGATGTAGTTGCTGTGTTGTGCTGTTGTTGGTGAGTTAGTGATTTGTACTGTGCTGGTGTGTTGTGCTGTTGTTGTTGGTGTGTTGTACTGTGCTGGTGTGTTGTGCTTTGGTGGTGTGTTGTGCTGTGATGTAGTTGCTGTGTTGTGCTGGTTGTTGGTGGTGTGTTGTACTGTGCTGGTGTGTTGTGCTTTGGTGGTGTGTTGTGCTGTGATGTAGTTGCTGTGTTGTGCTGTTGTTGTTGGTGTGTTGTACTGTGCTGGTGTGTTGTGCTTTGGTGGTGTGTTGTGCTGTGATGTAGTTGCTGTGTTGCTGTTGTTGGTGGTGTGTTGTACTGTGCTGGTGTGTTGTGCTGTTGTTGTTGGTTATGCTGTGCTGGTGTGCTTTGGTGGTGTGTTGTGCTGTGATATAGCAGTTGCTGTGTTGTGCCTTATTTGTTGGTGGTGTGTTGTACTGTGCTGGTGTGTTGTGCTTTGGTTGGTGTGTTGTGCTGTGATGTAGTTGCTGTTGTGCTGTTGTTGGTGGTGTGTTGTACTGTGCTGGTGTGTTGTGCTTGGTGGTGTGTTGTGCTGTGATGTAGTTGCTGTGTTGTGCTGTTGTTGGTGTGTGTGTGTGCTGGTGTGTTGTGCTGTTGTTGTTGTGTGTGTTGTACTGTGCTGGTGTGTTGTGCTTTGGTGGTGTGTTGTGCTGTGATGTGCTGTGTTGTGCTGTTGTTGGTGGTGTGTTGTACTGTGCTGGTGTGTTGTGCTGGTGTGTTGTGCTGTGATGTAGTGTTGTGCTGTTGCTGTTGGTGTGTTGTACTGTGCTGGTGTGTGTGCTTTGGTGGTGTGTTGTGCTGTGATGTAGTTGCTGTGTTGTGCTGTTGTTGGTGGTGTGTTGTACTGTGCTGGTGTGTTGTGCTTTGGTGGTGTGTTGTGCTGTGATGTAGTTGCTGTGTTGTGCTGTTGTTGGTGGTGTGTTGTACTGTGCTGGTGTGTTGTGCTTTGGTGGTGTGTGTGCTGTGATGTAGTTGCTGTGTTGTGCTGTTGTTGGTGGTGTGTTGTACTGTGCTGGTGTGTTGTGCTTTGTGGTGTGTTGTGCTGTGATGTAGTTGCTGTGTTGTGCTGTTGTTGGTGGTGTGTTGTACTGTGCTGCTGTGTTGTGTTGTTGGTGTGTGGTGTTGTATTCTGTTGGTGTGTTCTGTGTTGTTATTATGCTGTGTTGGTGCCGGTGTTGTTGTGTTTGGTTATCGCTTGGTTGTGTTGTTTAGTGGTATCGCTTGGGTGTGTGTTTGGTGGTATCGTTTGGTTGTGTTGTTGTGTTTGGTGTATACTGTGTTTAGTGGTATCGCTTGGTTGTGTTGTGTTTGGTGGTATCGTTTGGTTGTGGTTGGTGGTATCCTTGGTTGTGTTACTGTGTTTGTATTTTGTGGTGGTATCGCTTGGTTGTTTGTTGTGTTTGGTGGTATCACGTGTTTGTGTTGTTGTTCGTGTTTGGTGGTATCGCTTGGATTTTGTGTTACTGGTTTGGTGGTATCGCTTGGTTGTGTTGTGGTTGGTGGTATCGCTTGTTGTTGTGTTTGGTGGTATCAGCTTGGTTTGTGTTGTTGTGTTTGCTTGGTTGTGTTTGGTGGTATCGCTTGGTTGTGTTGTTGTGTTTGGTGCCGCTTGGTTGTGTTGTGTTTAGTGGTATCGCTTGGTTGTGTTGTTGTGTTTGGTGGTATCGCTTGGTTGTGTTACTGTGTTTAGTGGTATCGCTTGGTTGTGTTGTGGTTGGTGGTTCGCTTGGTGCTGTGGTTGGTGGTTCGCTTGTGTTACTGTGTTTTTGGTACAGTTTGTGTTTTGTGTTTGGTGGTATCGCTTGGTTGTGTTGCTGTGTTTGGTGGTATCGCTTGGTTGTGTTGTTGTGTTTGGTGGTATCGCTTGGTTGTGTTGTTGTGTTTGGTGGTATCGCTTGGTTGTGTTTGGTGGTATCGCTTGGTGTGTTGTTGTGTTTGGTGGTTCGCTTGGTTGTGTTACTGTGTTTAGTGGTATCGCTTAGTTGTGTTGTTGTGTTTAGTGGTTCGCTTGGTTGTGTTGGTAGTGCGCTAGGTTATGTGGTTTAGCATTGTGTTATACTGTTGTTGGTGTCCTTAGTCTATGGGAGTCGGTAATGGGAGAGAACTTTCAGTATTTTGAAGTTTTAGTTTACGGGAGAAATTACTACTTACTTTACATTTAGGTTTACTTTACATTTAGGTTTACTTTACATTTAGGTTTACTTTACATTTAGGTTTACTTTACATTTAGGTTTACAACAGTCTTCCTTTACTCCATCTTGCTGTGTTTTGTTTGGTTTGCTTAGTTCAGAGATAGTCATTTTGAGAGTCATATTTTGTTAGCTATTTTAGAAGTCACATTAGCCATTTTAGGAGTCACATCAGCCATTTTAGGAATCATATTAGCCTTTTTTTGGGTCATATAAACAATTTTAGGAGTCATATTAGCCGTTGTAGAAGACATTTCCTAAGCCATTTTGGGAACCATTTATAGTCATCGTTAGGGAACCTTTTTATGCCTAAGGCCTTACCAGTTCTGTGAGACAAGGATGTATTACTGAGCACTGTGTTGTTTTCTTGACCAGTTTAACCTTTCACCTTTGACCTCTCGTCCCGTTGCTTTGACCTGTGGCAATGGTTATGTGCTGTGGTGTTAAGGGTATGTTAGGTTAGGTTGATGATGATGTTTTGCCCTTGTCT